AAGTGTAACAAGCCTGTTACATGGCTGTGAAAATATCCAGTTACCATAACAGGGTTAAGACAGGGCTACCAAGTAATGCAGAAGAACTAGGACAAGGATGGAGAACGGCTGTGTTAGGTACATTTGACAGTAACCGGGTTACTACAGAGCTGTGAGATGTCTATTTCTGTTCACACAATGGATATAATCAAAGGGCAGTAACAATGTAGCCAAGTACGGTAAACTCCATAAATCATGAAAGATGGCAATATTTTTCAAAGTCTAAAGTGTTAAAAGGAGCGCGGGTCAGCTAGATCATTAATACAAATAAAACGAAAAAGAACTTGGTGAAAATGGTAGCGCTTAATCATCAAACACGATTATTGTACACCTTTTATAATTAGTATGCTGTTTTTGGTTTTGTTTGGATTTGCTTCGTTTTTTTCTTTTTTTTTTCATTGATACTTACATCAATTAATTACCGATGTTGTGGCTACCTTTGTAGTTTGAAGTTGCTTTCTTTTTAGACTCTTATCTCATGTTAAAAACGAAGACCTTCTTATGATTTCATCAGCTCCTGTTCTTCCTGTTCTTTTAAATAATAAAAAAAAAACCGCTGTAACTTAATTTTTTACAGCAATGTACTAAAAATGAAAGACTTTGAGATCACTTCAATTTGTTTTCCTACCCGAGAAACCTCTGCAAGCATGGAATTAAATATTTTCATTCCGTGACAGACACACGCCATCGGTAATTCCCTGGAGAAATCCAAGACCTTAATCTTATTGGTCAGCACTTTTACCGGAAGATCGCATTACACATCTCCATTCCTGAAACGACTCACGACTATTTGAATGAAAGGCGAAAATATTCAAACGCTTTCTGCATCCAGTTTGGATTGAAAAAGGCTGTAGAGCATTTTTTGCTGCTTTTGAAGCAGAGAGTGAAAAAGTATTAACAAAAAAATAACTGTGCTTTGACCAGCTCTCAACGAATGAGAAACAGATCGATCTAGTGGACAGAAAACATTCCGCGGCACTTGCAAGATTCAAAGATTGTTTGCCCTGCGTAGTAATAATGTAAGTTCATTTCGTACACCATTGAACAATTCAGCAACAACTGAAACACAAATGGATTGGCTCTTTTCATGAGGAAATGTAACACATTGTGGATCATGAAGGAAAGGCGATCGAGGTGAGCGATTTCAAATTAAGCTTGTTGCAACCCAAACAAAAGAATTATTTTAAGTGTCGACCTCGGAACCGTTGTTACAATGGAACAGTTCCGCGTTTCATCTCTAAATAATTGCTGACAAAAATCGTTTTTTTGTTTTTTGAGACAGTTATTGTAAAGTCGGCATTTTGATGTGCTAGTTGTCAATTAAATCGAGCAACTATGACCAAGTATTTACAAGCCAGATCAGACTGTTGTATGCAGTTCAAATTTTGTTCTGTTTATATTTTTACACACTGTAACAATTGGGCACGTCAAAAATAAAGTAACGTTAAGTTCTTTATTGACTGTATTTAGTGTTTTCCTTTATTGTAAGTGTTCTTTCAATGCATGTTTGTTGAAATGCATTGCTTTTGTTTCAAGTACTTTGTGACTAAACGGACTAAAACAGCCGTTAGTGGTTCAACTTTGAAGCTTTTTGTGGCGCAAATCGTTCCTTTGCTTTAGGAATTTTCATGAGTTCAAATACGCCTAAAAAAGATGAAGTTTCATCTTTAATAGATATGAAGTTATAAACAATTATGTTCTGATAGTACTATAATCCTAATGTATAGAAGTTAAACGGCTGCTGTCTAAAGTGTAGATTGTGTGAGAGGGAGTATCACAACATTGGCACCTGGTAAAAAAAAAACAGCCTTGTTAACTGCCAATTAACAAGTTGTAACAGGGTTGTGATGCATGGAACCTGTACCAAGGCTGTTAAAGGAATGCCACAGTGTAAAAACAGCCTTGCTAACTGTGCCAATTCACGAGCTGTGGCAGGGATGTCCATCACAGGGTAGAAACAGGGTTGTAACATGGCTGTTACAGGGTGTCTACCAAGAAATTTTGAGTTAAACGTGACAGGGCTGTTCCAAGGCTGTTACAGTGTAGAAACAGCCTTGCTAACTGTGCCAAATGACGAGCTGTAACAGGGTTGTCACAGGTTAGTTTTACAACCCTGTTCCAGTGATGCTACAGAGCTGTTACAGGGTAGAAATTTTGTTAAGGGCTATTATAAACTTTGTGTAATGTATGATCAATGCAACAATTCATACGCTGACAAAACGGTAGCCTGCGAAAACATCCGTTTCTCCTTGCTCTTCGCCGCTGGGGGCGTTTCGCGTGGAGGAACTGAAGCCCTTATAACTTCTTTATCTTGAAGAAAGTTACGAATTTGTGTCAAATTAGCCTTTCTCCTTACAAAATCGTCAAATTTACCAAATTCAGTACGAAACAGGTTTATAAACCGAAAAGGAAGCAATTCCCATGGTTTATGTTAAAAATAAGGCAGATTTAAGGCGGTTCAAAATTCAAAAATACGCTTATAATCGACCGGGGACTGGAACTAGCCACATAATTGGGCAAAATTTGTGGGCCAAATTTGGAGTAACGCAAAGATTTGCCAATCTTTCTTTTGGTAAAGGTCCTGAAGCTCCCCTGGTTACAGGACCGGAAGACAATTATGAGACTCGATGCTTAGGCAAGCAAGACTAAATATGATTTGCAATACAGCGAATAAATAATTACATCACCGCAAACTGCATCATGTCCAGATGTGTGAAGTATTTTAGAGTTCTTCTTGATCAATTTCTTACGAATGATATCATTGGTTCGTGTGCACTAGCCAAAATTCTTGATGTTATGATAGACAGTGAGATGTCTTTCCCAGAAGGCGAAATTCGGAGGAGGCAGTCTCTAGTAACTCACGCGTATAAAAGGAAAGTACTTACAGTTGACAGTCAGTATGTCAGAAAAAATCTCGATTTGCTTGAAGATGGACCGCGCTATGGCGTTCCATTTCTGCCAAAATTCAATGTTCCATTTTACATTGTACTTTGCACAATCTATCCTACATTTTGTGTTTGTCATTTGAATTTACACTAGCGATTCAGCGTTTTTGCATTCAACATTCAACTTTGACTTATGCAACATTCAAGTTTTCGCTTTAAACTCTTCTAACAATTCATGGATTGTTTTTCCTCAATTTGGTATATCGGGGTCAAATTTTCAGAGGTAAATGAAATTGTAATGCTCTTTCAATATTCAGAAATTTCATTTTATTAGCTTTATGAGATAATGATAAGCCTATTCTAATGAGACAAAAAATGTAAATAAGGATTCGCCTAATCACGTGCATCAAAATTTTTATCTCTTTACAAGCAAACCTGCAAATACACTGTAAACTATAAAGCATACGATAATGGGAGTGATCTATACTAAGTTTTGATATGTCCCAGGGCATGTATATACCAAATTCGCCTTGTATGCGTGTTTACAATAAATAGGTTTCAGTAAATAAAGGGAAAGGGTCACGTGACTCATTAATTAGTCAAATAACTAATAGGACAAATAACATTTCCAATCATACAAGGCGAATTTACGATTTACACTGTTTATTCAACATTTTGGTATGTGGCAAAAATTCTTAAGATTAAGATTAAGATTGAGATTAAGGTTTGCAACCTTTCCCCGTTTAGGAAAACGTGTTTTGTGACGTCAATGTCATGTGATATTTGAAATCACGTTTCACTTGTGTTTTCGTTGAGCCACATTTGTAGTTTGCTTTTCAGAATCAATGATGGGAGCAAACCGTTCTAAATGGCACTTAACAAAATATGTATATCACAATTAATGCCAGCTGCACTAAAGCTATGCTTATAACAGTCTTCTTATATCGTTCTAAGCTCGGTGGAATTACTTCTACGTTTCTCTTACGTTCGTCATTGTCTCGTACACTGGACTGATGTTGCCAAAGTCTGAGGAAGATCTTCGTGCAAGAGAATAGTGAGATGATGAGAGAAGTATTGGAAAAATTATAATTAAAATCATGGCCTTCTTTCTGCTAAAAAACCAGAGACAGAAAATAGGAAATAGGAAATATCGTTGGCTGAATTCCCCGCCTAGCTATTAAGGGTCTTTATGACGACTACGTTAATTAACAAAACCCTGGGATCAAACCTTAAACTACTGAGGCAAGTGCCTCGGTGTGCCTTATACTCACTACGGCCCTGATCTGAAACGGCAGGCCGTGAGGTGCTCGACAAAGAAATGAGGTTTTCCACAGGTTTAGCTCTTTATAGCCAGACGGTGGCCAGAAAAAGGCTCGGTTAGCTTCAAAAGGCCATTGTGGGCAAAAACTCCTTGGAGTGAATCGGTTAATGAAAAATAAGAAGAAAATAAACAAATGAATAAACAACCGAAAAAGTTTATTTTTATTCACAACTCCAACGTCTGTACCTTGTGTCGAAGCATATTTTGATGACTTCAACGAAACTGATCCTTCTGTCTACGAGTTAATTAAGCTGACTTGTATGCTCACGCTTTCTATCTCCTCTATCATAATCGGCTTATAAACCTTTCATCTTTTGGCAAAAATCGTTATATAATCGTTGCAATTTGGGCAACGGAAGTTAAGCCCCCATCTTTCGTGCTTTTTGTTTACTTCTACTGCAAATAATTCCCTTCAGCTGGTTTTTATCATCAAGACCTAAGAACTGTTTAAAGTGCAGATGCTTTTAATTATGTTCCTTTATTTTGCATCGGTTCGGGAGTGAATAATTAAAAAATTTTGAACTGCCTTAAATCTGTCTTATTTTTAACACAAACCATGGGAATTGCTTCCTTTTCAGTTTATAAACCTGTTTCGTACTGAATTTGGTAAATTTGACGATTTTGTAAGGAGAAAGGCTAATTTGACACAAATTCGTAACTTTCTTTATGATAAAGAAGTTATAAGGGCTTCAGTTCAGAGCTCAATGAATTTGATCTTTATTTTATTTTTAGAACTTGACAAAAGGACTTGTTCCTCAACTTATACATGTGCAAAACCTTTTGATTGTGGCCTTCACTGCTTGTCTTAGTTCTTTGATCCTCCAGCAGTACAGGAACGGGTTTAAAGACGAGTTAAGGAAAAGGAGAGTTGCGGTTGAGTCTCGAAGGCCCGGATAAAGGCTAGCCGTAAGGGGAAAGACATGCAGATGTTCTACTATAAGAAAAGAAAGAAATGGAACATAGCATATAACTAATGCCAACTGCACCAAAGCTATGCTTACAACAGTCCTTTTATATCGTTCTAAGTTCAATGAAATTCCTCCTATGTTCGCTTGTCCTTGCTGGACATTATCTCGTACACTGGACTGATGGTGCCGAAGTCTAAGGACGATCCTCGTGTAAGAGAACAGCGAGATAATGAGAGAAAGCGTTATTAAAATGATTATTATAATATTGGCAGTATTTGTTCTCAATTTCCAGACCAACACAAGCAAAAAAGTAGTAAACCAAGAACAAGCAATAACTGCACGGACTCGTCTCAGTGTCACTACGTGTCTGTACCTTAATCCCAGCAATAGGGCGAGTAGTCTGTTCACACTAAGGGCAGTTACTGTGAAAAACGATACTCCACAAAAAATAATCCCAAAACTTGCGCAAGAAGAGTCCACATGTTTGTAAACGTTCAGTTGCTTACTGACCATTTGTGGCTGCGGAATAAGACCAACGCCAAGATCAGCGATCGCCAGGCATTGAAACATCAGTTTTGTTGGTGGATGAAGGGAAGATACGTTGCGAAGGCCAATCAGGATTAGAATGTTCCCCAGAGATGCTGTGATGGAAAGAAGAATATTCACAGCCGCGATCATAATTCCAGCTATTTCCAGGGAACTCCATGTCTTACAAAAAGTGGCGTTTCCACCTTCTGCTGTCACATTCGCCATTTCACGAGCTTTTATTGAATTAAAGTAGAGGTGCCTTGCTCTGACTGCGCGCTTCCCCAATAAGATCTGCCTTAAAAATGATCTTTACTGCTATACCAGGGTTATTATGTCATACAAATGAATGAATATCGTTTGTTTGACTTGGCTATCAGTACATTCATCACGTCGAAGAGCGTAGTTTTAGTCGAGCAAACTTTAAATTTCCAGTCAATTTACTGAATCAACATATCATGTTCAATTAGGAACAAGCGCAGCTGAAAAGAGAGTATTTTTTTCTGAAACGTGCACAGCAAAATACAAGAAGTTCGTCTTGTTAAATGGATATTTTTTTTAATAGGAACTCTCCAAATTCCATGACCAAGTCTCATTAGACGAAAGGGAAAATATGTTGTTATTTCATTTGGATGTTGACACTTGGTTTTAAAAATATTAAGTAGTAAAATTTACCCCAGGAGAATAATAACAGGTAGTTATATATATTAACTAATTTGTGGAAGGGCGATAAAGATACCCCCATAATTCTTCCATGAAAATTATTTGTTAGAAACCTAAACATTGCTGATAAGTATCTTCAACTTCCCTTTGTTAACTACTTTATTTGACGTACTGACCTTGACGAACAATCTTATTTCGGAACAATACCAGCTGAAGAGGAAGTAAATAATTAAATTGTTCCTAAAATTACCAAAACCATCTGTTTGATAGATGACCTACGTGCTAGCATCCTCGGAGACCCAGGGACGGTCAGTCGGGCCGGGAGAAAAGGCGCGACGAAAGTTTTCAAGCACGGACGGAAACGCCCCCGGGTACCGACTCTCACCGGACTATTTCCAAACGGTCAAGCGATTGGTGGCTCCTGATTAGGCACAAAAAATTCTTTGTATTATTGTGCCCAATCGGTGAACAGTTTCTCCTGAGTTCATTGGCCCTAGGGGATCTCCAGCTTGGTGATCTTATAATCAACGGACAAATTGTTACTATCAATAACTGGCCGATGAAATTTGTTGAAGTGTACGTTTTGGGAAATCTACGAATAACAATCAACAAAGGATATTCGGGTGTATTCGAGCCGAATATTTCAGTATACCAGTCACGTGAGGTGTGCGCCTTGAATACCTCAGCATTCTAGAGAGTCATGATCACGTATTCTAGGCTCGAACATCTCCGAATATTTTCATTTTCACGTGGTGCACACCGACGAAGATGTCCACTGGGAATGTCATGATACGATCGTCCAGTTATGTTTAATTTACACCTTTCTTTTAGAGCTCCATGTACGCGATGCAATTCATAAGTGAAAAAAAATCGCATGATAGCGTACATATGTGCGAACTGAAGCGCATTAAGCATAGTGCAAAGAACAAAGCTAGTCCTCCAATCTGGAAGCGCTGATTTCGATTCCCACCCAGACCGCCAGATGGATTTTTTGTTTTCAGTATCAGGGATCAGCAGCCTAGTCACTAGGCTTCCTCTCTGTTGCCGCGTTGTCGGCGCGAAGTGTTTCTGTGACGTCACAGCTCACGGTGGAGTCCAGTATTGACCGAGCCAAGAACTAGGGACTAGGCTGAGAGATCAAAAGTCCCGGATTAAATTAGTTAAATAATTAACTGGGTTGCCTCTGAGCAGGTGGTAATTTCTTTCCGTTTTTTTGCTCGGATCTACAAGCCTTTGTGCTATACAAACGGCCGAGGATACCGGAATTGTCAAGATTATTTATTGATTCTGATTCTAATTCTGGTTATCAATTCAAGTCGACTGAGCGAAACGTTTGTCTATATCTCGTTTAGAACTAAGTTCTAATATTTATTACATCTGGCTCTTTCAAAGCCTTGTCAGCTATTCAGAAGAGATGAATAGTTCAACAATTAAGATTATCACCACAGCAACAAAATTAAATTTCCATTATAGTGAAGCAGATGATTATCGCCTCCTTTCTGCCTAATATCGCGGTATATAGTAAAGTAGTATGTGTTGCAAATACAGCAACATAATTCTTTCTCAAAATCATTCTGACTCTTCTTTTATATAGAGGATATTACACAGTGGCGCGAAGAATTGAATTTTATTTTCGAGTGGCAAAACAACATTTTACGAATGAGCGCTGCGAGTGAGTAAGATATTGTTTTTGCTACAAGAAAATAAAATTCATATCTTCAAGCCGCCGTGTAATGTTCTTTTTATTATATAGACGAAAAGACATCGATTAAATAATAGAGGGAAATGACCAAAATTACGTCATCGATAAACTCACGTTTGAGATTATGGAAAATAAACCACTCGGGTCCCGGATGTAGTTTTTATGAATTTTACGAGTGGTATATTTTCCAGTAAAACAATCGTGTCTATATAATAAATTCATATAAATCATGTGCATTAAACTTTCATCTCTTTACGAGCAAACCTGGAAATATAAACTGTTGCAGTAAAAGGTTCTTTCTTAAATATATCAAATACTGGGTGTTTGGAGAAGTTTACGAGATTTCCAGTCGGGATGTTCTCTGCATTGAAACTTAACTAAGGCACGAGAAAACCCGTTTGATTATCGCCTTCACTACTTGTCTTAGTTCTTTCATCCTCCAAAAGTACAAAAATGGGTTAAGAGACGAGTTTAAGTAAAAAATAGTGGTGGCAGCCTCTCGAACGATGATCAGTGTAGTGCTATGGCTATTGTCATGATCACTCGGTCGTATGGTTATAAGAGAAATTATTGACGGTACATAGCATACAAACAAGGCAACCTGTACCATCGCTATACTAACGACCGTCTTTTTGTAAAGTGCTATGTTCAGTGGAACTCTTCCTCCGTTGGGTTGTCGATCATGAGCATTCCCTTGTACACAAAGCTGATGTTGTCTAAGTCTAAGGAATACCTTTGAGTAGGAAACCAGTGAAATTACTAAAGAAAGAACTATCGCAGTGGTAATTGTGGTCAGGAAAACATAATAACTGCCATAAAACATTACAAAAGTACACGAACCAGCAATGAACCAAAACAAGCAAATAATGGCACGGATTCGACATAATGTTACAGCTCTTTTATATCTTAGCCCAAGAAACAGGGCAAGAAGTCTGTCCACACTTAAGGCGGTTGACGTCGACATCGACACTCCACAAAAAATAATGGATGAAGACCAGTTGGCGATATAGAGTACATTCCAAGTCATCTTTTCATAGAAGCAGCATTTCAGGAATAAGAGGCTAAAAAGTGGCTGGGAAATGAGACCAACACCAAGATCGGAGAGCGCCAGGCATTGGAACAACAGTTTTGTCGGCGGATGAAGAGAAGTTGCGGATACCTTGCGAAGGGCAATCAAAATAAGAAAATTGCCCAGAGATGCCGTGATGGATAGAAGAATATTTATTAGGCAAAATGGAAGCATCCATGACGCTGACAGCGAGAAGCTGCCGTCTTCAGTTAAATTCCCCATTTATTTGGTACGAAGGCCGGTCAACAAAGCACAGGCTAAGAAGATCTCCTCTGTAACTTTTCCTATTCCAGTGCTAAAAAAATGGCCTTGCATCACATCACCAATGAAAACCTTCATCGACTGAATAGATGTAATTGTAGATCAGTGCACTTTACGATGATGTATTACAAAAAATTCAGCCCTTAGTTAATAAAGAACAATTAGTGGAGAGTCACGAACACAAAATGATAACGATCTTTTTTTATTGAAAGTGATCTTTATATAATGTCAGAATTCAAAATATTCCGAGATTGTTTCTGACATCACTTCATCACGTCCGACGTCCGAGCCCGTAATTTTCCGTCACCTGATGTCAATTAACAAACGGTCTTGGACTAAAGTTCATTTTCGGATCAATATACAAGCTAAAAGATAAGTTATTACTGCAAATTATTCTGAAAATGTACATCAGGGAGTCTTGATAAATTAAAAGCTTCATAACAATGAAAATTTCTCAGTCATACAAAGAAAGATTACGGCTTTATTAAAAGTTTAGTGTCTTCCTTGTCGGTAAGGAAAGTTAAACATGACAATTTTGTTTGATAAGGTAAAAGTAAAAAACATCGACTCCGAAGCTGACTGGTGAAGTGATACCGCTTATTTGTCATTGGTTGATTCTTTTCGCGTTAGGTTTTAATCTAATTGACTCAGCTGAGAAAATACCATTTTTGCTTTTTAAACAAATGTGATTTATTTGATATAATCCCTACTGGTATTATTATCGTAAGGCAAAAAATAATGGGAGTGATCTATACCAAGTTTTGATATGTCTCAGGGCATGTATATATCAGCTGTAATACATTTAAGAACGAAAGACTTTTTTGAGGAAAAGTTAAACATGAAAGCCTTGGAGTGATTTTCGATGTTCTGTTCCAGAGGGTTATACGTGTTATTGTCTACTCCTGGGTCAATATTCGAGACTAGCTGCCTGGCGGAAGACATCAAACCTGTCAGTTTGAGGCAAAGTAGAATTTCCGGTCGTCTTTTTATTCTCTCTTTTTTGTGCGCAAAATTTTATCACATGCTCTGTGGTGAATTATATACCCAACGCCACTAGAAAGTTCTTCACCAATTTCTACAATTAGCTGGCGACTAAGTCAAAAGTAAGCTACGGAAATCGCAGGAAATGTCATCTTATTGTCTGAAAACTTAATCGCCATACGCACGTGCGTAAAAAAGATTTTTATCATGATGGCTTAATATGAACTGAGTAGGGGCGAGCATCGCAGTCGTCCGCCATATTATAAAACTTGCTAAAGACGCTCATTAGATTTCTATTTGCAGCGGTCTTAGAAAGGAGAGTGAGAAATTGTGATTTACATTGAATGAATTATGATTTCTATATAGCCAACACAGGGGGGGGAGGGTTTATTATTATGGCATCTCAGCTTTGATGCCCTGCCTCTATATGGCGCCTCTTTCAGGTTACTTCCCTTCATTTTTACTCCTCGTCCCACCCCTTCCTACGCAAGTCCGTATCTTTTATCTCAAAGAATTCGCCAGGTTCCCCATATTCAAAAGCAGAGCGGCCAAGATCATTGTGTTAAAAGAGCAATTTCACCAGCACTATTGCGAGCATCTTATTTTTTATTTATCAATAATAACAATAATTACTATAATCATAACTAGAACAAAATTCTCAGATCTGATTGGCTATCAACTGTCCTGATTTCTTCCTTATTAGGACAGCTTAATAGGACAGTACGCGTCATGTTTAAGTAATTTGTTGAAGTTATGATTAATTGGCAACTGAACTTCATGTCGTCCAATTCATTTTTTGATTTTAGGCCAAATAGGCCAGGAAAATGTGTTTCACTACATTCTAAATAGAAAAATACGCCTTTCTAGATCATAAAATCAAGAAAATAAAAAAAAAAATCGAAAAATTGTGATTTTCCCAAAGTAGGTAGTGCATGGTTTTCGACAAAAATTGGCCAATTGTCTATCTTTTTTTAGGCAAGGTAGGACAGGACAAACAGACACAAACCCCTTTGAAAAAATGCCAATTTTTGGACTTTTTTAACTCCGCGGTTTTATAGTCTAGAAAGGCTTTATTTTTATCTAGAATATCGCCAAACATTTTTTTCTTGCCTACTTTTCCTAAAAGAGAAAGAGAGAAAAATTTTAATTGTTGGACCAAAACTATGCAATAACCCTCTCAAAATCATTCTGACTTTTCTTTTATATTCATATGTAGTTGTTGATTCATCGTGACGTCATTGTTTATAGAGTGTTTGTCTGTATATAGAGTGTTTTCACTCACGTGGCCAGCATCTATGCAAATTTATTGGCACAAAAGAAAGCGTTTGCATAAGAAAAGAGTCCAACTCCCGGAGGGATGGTTTGGGACACCAACATGGCCGCCGTTTCATTGTTTTGGGACACCAATATGGCCGCCGTGACGTCATGTGAAAAAACTCTATACCGATTTGGTGCAAAATTAAAAGAGCTGGTTAATTTATGTAGTTTGTTCAGGTTTCAGCTTTTTACTATCAGTAACAAACACAATAGCAGCAATTAAAAACTGCAAAATTACTGGGTGGCAAAACGTTAATGAGCTCATACATTCTTATTAAATTTGGGGGGTTTTGAAAGATAAATTCCCCGAAACTATTTGCGTAGTATATCGGGGTCAAATTTTCAGAGGTAACTGAAATTGTTATCCTCTTTCAATATTCAGAACTTTCTTTTTTTTTAACTTTATCAGATTATGATAAGCCTATTCTAATGAGACAAAAAATGTAACTAAGGATTCGCCTAATCACGTGCATCAAAAGTTTTATCTCTTTACAAGCAAACCTGCAAATACACTGTAAACCGTTACAGTAAGAGGTTCTAAAATATATCAAATCCTAAGTGTTTGGAGAAGTCTACGAAATTTCCAGTCGGGATGTTCTCTGCATTGAAACTTAAATAAGGCACGAAAAAACCCTTTTGATTATCGCCTTCACTACTTGTCTTAATTCTTTCATCCTCCAAAAGTACAAAAATGGATTAAGAGACGAGTTTAAGTAAAAAATAGTGGTGGCAGCCTCTCGAACGATGATCAGTGTAGTGCTATGGCTATTGTCATGATCACTCGGTCGTATGGTTATCAGAGAAATTATTGACGGTACATAGCATACAAACAAGGCAACCTGTACCATCGCTATACTAACGACCGTCTTTTTGTAAAGTGCTATGTTCAGTGGAATTCTACCTCCGTTCGGTTGTCCATCATGAGCATTCTCTTGTACACAACGCTGATGTTGTCTAAGTCTAAGGAATATCTTTGAGTAGGAAACCAGTGAAATTACTAAAGAAAGAACTATCGCAGTGGTAATTGTGGTCAGAAAAACATAATAACTGCCATAAAACATCACAAAAGTACACGAAACAGCAATGAACCAAAACAAGCAAATAATGGCACGGATTCGACATAGTGTTACAACTCTTCTATATCTTAGCCCAAGAAACAGGGCAAGAAGTCTGTCCACACTTAAGGCGGTTGACGTCGACATCGACACTCCACAAAAAATAATGGATGAAGACCAGTTGGCGATATAAAGTACATTCCAAGTCATCTTTTCATAGAAGCAGCATTTCAGGAATAAGAGGCTAAAAAGTGGCTGGGAAATGAGACCAACACCAAGATCGGAGACCGCCAGGCATTGGAACATCAGTTTTGTTGGCGGATGAAGAGAAGTTACGGATACCTTGCGAAGGGCAATCAAAATAAGAAAATTGCCCAGAGATGCCGTGATGGATAGAAGAATATTTATTAGGCAAAATGGAAGCATCCATGACGCTGAAAGCGAGAAGCTGCCGTCTTCAGTTAAATTCCCCATTTATTCGGTACAACGGCCGGTCAACAAAGCACAGGCTAAGAAGATCTCCTCTGTAACTTTTCCTATTCCAGTGCTAAAAAAATGGCCTTGCATCACATCACCAATGAAAACCTTCATCGACTGAATAGATGTAATTGTAGATCAGTGCACTTTACGATGATGTATTACAAAAAATTCAGCCCTTAGTTAATAAAGAACAATTAGTGGAGAGTCACGAACACAAACTGATATCGATCTTTTTTTATTGAAAGTGATCTTTATATAATGTCAGAATTCAAAATATTCCGAGATTGTTTCTGACATCACTTCATCACGTCCGACGTGCGAGCCCGTAATTTTCCTTCACCTGATGTCAATTAACAAACGGTCTTGGACTGAAGTTCATTTTCGGATCAATATTCAAGCTAAAAGATAAGTTATTACTGCAAATTATTCTGAAAATGTACATCAGGGAGTCTTGATAAATTAAAGGCTTGGTAACAATGAAAATTTCTCAGTCTTACAAAGAAAGGTTACGGTTTTATCAAAAGTTTTAGTGTTTTCCTTGTCGGTAAGGAAAGTTAAACATGACAATTTTGTTTGATAAGGTAAAAGTAAAAAACATAGACTCCGAAGTTGACTGGTGAAGTGATACCGCTTATTTGTCATTGGTTGATTCTTTTCACGTTAGGTTTTAATCTAATTGACTCAGCTGAGAAAATACCATTTTTGCTTTTTAAACAAATGTGATTTATTTGATATAATCCCTAGTATGATTATCATACAGCATATAATAATGGGAGTGATCTATACTAAGTTTTGATATGCCCCAGGGCATGTATATACCAGCTGTAATACATTTAAGAACGACAGACTTTTTTGGGGAAAAGTTAAACATGAAAGCCTTGGAGTGATTTTCGATGTTCTGTTCCAGAGGGCTATACGTATACGTGTTATTGTCTACTCCTGGGTCAATATTCGAGACTAGCTGGCTGGCGGCAGACAGCAAACCTCTCACTTTGAGGCAAAGTAGAATTTCCGGTCGTCTTTTTATTCTCTTTTGTGTGCGCAAAATTTAATCACATGCTTTACGGTGAATTATATATCCAAAGCCACCAGAAAGTTCTTCACCAATTTCTACAATTAGCTGGCGAATAAATCAAAAGTAAGTGACGGAAATCGCAGGAAATGTCATCCTGTTTTCTGAAAACTTAATCATCATACGCACGACCTGTGCGTAAAAGAGATTTTTATCATGATGGCTTCTGATATGAACTGAGTAGGGGCGAGCATCGCAGTCGTCCGCTATATTATAAAACTTGCTAGAGGCGCTCATTAGATTTCTATTTGCAGCGCTCTTTTTATTTTAGGCAAAATAGGCCAAGAAAATATGTTTCACGATATTCTAGAAAGAAAAATCGCTGTTCTACTCTAAAAAAACAAGAAGTTCAAAAAGTCGAAAATTCGGGATTTTTCCAAAGGGGTTAGTCCGTGGTTTGGTCTAAAATCTGCAATTTTTTTGATGTTTTAATTTTGAAAATGTGTTTCACGATACAGTCTAGAAAGAAAAAAACAAGATCATAAAAAAAGAAAGTTAAACAGGTCGAAAATTTTGGATTTTTCCAAAGTTGTTAGTCCATTGTTTTGGTCAAAAATTGGCAATTTTTCCATGTATTTATTTTGGGCAAAATAGGCCAGAAAATCGTGTTTTACGATATTCTTGAATGACAAAACGCTTTTGTACACTATATAAAAAAAAGAAGTTTAAAAAATTGAAAAATTTGCACTTTTTAAAGGGCTTAGTCCATGGTTTTGGTCAAAAATTGGCAATTTCTTCATTTTTTAAGTTTAAGCAAAATAGGCCAGGAAAATGTGTTTCACTATATTCTAAATAGAAAAATACGCCTTTCTAGATCATAAAATCAAGATATTAAAAAAAAAAAAATCGAAAAATTGGGATTTCTCCAAAGTAGGTAGTACATAGTTTTCGACAAAGATTGGCCAATTTTCCACTTTTTTTTTTTAGGCAAAGTAGGACAGGAAAATGTGTTTCACTATATTCTTCAAAGAAAAAAACGCCTTTCTACACTATAAAAACAAAAAGTTGAAAAAGTCGAAAAATTAGGATTTTTTGCCAAGGGGTTAGTCTTTGGTTAAGGTCAAAAATTGGCAATTTTTTCATCTTTTTTTTTTAGGCAAAATAGGCCAAAAAATTTGTTTCACGGTAAGTTCTAGAGGGAAAAAAAAGCTTTTCTACACGATAAAAACAAAAAGTTAAAAAAGTCGGAGAACTGGTATTTTTTAAAAGGGGTTTGTCCATATTTTTGCTAAAAAATTGGTAATTTTTCCATCTCTTTATTTTATTCTAGGAAGAAAAAACGCTTTTCTTGATTATAACAACAAGAAGTTAAAAAAGTAGAAAAATTGGGATTTTTGACCAAAACCATGGACTAATCCTTTTGGAAAAATCTTAGTTCTCCGATTATTTTTAACTTCTTGTTTTTATAATCTAGAAAGGCCTTTTTTTCTAGAATATCATGAAACACATTTTCCTGGCTTATTTGCCTAAAATAAAAAGACGGAAAATTGCCAATTTTGGACCAAAACCATGGTCTAACCCCTTTGGAAAATCCCAATTTTTCGACTATTTTAACTTCCTTTTTTAGTCTTGAAAGGTTTTATCTCTATCTAGAATATCGCTTAAAACTTTTTTGCTGCCTATTTTGCTTAAAAGAAAAAGATGGAAAAATTTCAATTTTTTTGAACCAAAACAATGGACAAACCCCTTTGGAAAAATGCCAATTTTCGGAATTTTTTAACTGCCCGTTTTTATAGTCTAGAAGGGCTTTATTTCTATCTAGAATATCACCAAACATTTTTTCTTGCCTACTTTGCCTAAAAGAGAAAGATGGAAAAATTTTAATTGTTGGACCAAAACTATGCACTAACCCTCTCACATGCTCTCAAAATCATACTGACTTTTCTTTTATATTCATATGTAGTTGTTGATTGATCGTGACGTCATTGTTTTCATTTTTGCTGATTAGCATACGAGATATCCCATAGGAGCTGTAGCCGTATATACCAGTTTGGTGCAAAAATAAAAAGAGCCGGTTAATTTATGCAGTTTGTGCAGGTCTTTGCTATCAGTAACAAATTACTGGGTGGCAAAACGTTAATGAGATCATAAATTTTTATTAAATTTGAGGGGGTTTCGAAAGAGAAATTCCCCGAAACTATTTGGTATATCGGGCTCAAATTTTCAGATGTAACTGAAACTGCTATATCCTGCCGCCGATGCCCACTTCTTTACATTGGTGAGACTGGACGTAATCTCAATCAGGAGTCGTTTTAGCGAACCTTAGTGGAGAATACGCAACAACACTCCTAGTCCTAGGTTTTCTGTGGCCCAATATTTTAACTCCACGGGCAAGAGTATTTCCGATGTCTTGGTGCGTGGTGTGATTCTATGTAAGGGAATCAACATCCAATGGAAACAGCGTGAAATGAGGATGATCTTCTAGCTGGGAACCGGAGCTGTGACATGTATCAAAGTTTCGCACGCTTCTATATTTACACGCGCACGCGCTTCAATTTAATGTCTTAAGACAACTGCGTAATAGTGCAACGGTTTTCTGAACACTAAGATGGGTTATACACCCGAAACGTCTGTTTCTTCTTCAAAGACTCTTATGACACTTTTTAATAATTTGTTAGAATATCATCCTTTAACCCATCTAACTGCAGCGTCAAGCACCCCTAACGGGTTTTTTAAATTTCATTTCCTTCTTATTATAAATACTGATCTGAAGAGAAAGCCTTGTTAAGGCAAGGTTGAGTTGGAAAGCATGCATTTAACAGCATAAAGTCGTGTCAGATATCATTATTCTAAGTCCTTACAAACTTTCTTTGGTGCGTTCAAACAACATAGGAAGTTGAACAAAGTTAAATCATTAAGAAAAGGAAAAGGGAAAAAGGGCTTCAAACATGTAACTTAGTTGGATCATTAACCTCTTGAATCCGTCACAGATCAACTACTGAGCCAGTTCCGGTGAGCAGCACTCACGCAACTTAACAAGTTGTGTTTTTGGTCGGTTCATGATATCGAATGATATATACAGTGAAACCTGTATTAAGCGGACACTCTCGGGGAATGCTCTAGATAAATAACGTCGTATGTGGTGTCAAATGCCATTCAAATGAACTGTGGAAACGTTTAGAATACTCCCATGCAGAGACTATGGACCAATTGATCATAGTGACATAAAAATAAGATTGTATCTCAAATTTGAAGAAATCAGATGAGTGAAACAAGCTCTATTCAAACAAAACGAAATGAGAAAGCAATACTGCGTACTGTGAAACTGATAAAATTAGTGGCACCCAATGAGAATATGGTTCAGAACCAGTTAAACATTGCATTGTTAAACGTATTTTAGTATTTAAACGGTAGATAAAGGCACATTTTTACCCCCTTAATTTTTTTTTTATCTGTTCGGATTTCCTAGCTGAAGGTCTAGTGATCCAAAAATTATAGGGATCAAAACTTACCTTTTCGAAAATTTCAGCCAGAAAAAAGGCTCCCAAAAATTCTAGGTGACCTTTTCAGGGTAAAAATCCGTTAAAAATGGACAGTTGTACCATTCTTTAGATGTTCGAAAATCCTAGGAGAGGCAGGCAAGCAAGGAATTTTACAACAAAAGTTCCGAAAATTCTAGATCTCAAATCGTCTTCCCAACAGATATTTTCCGAAAATTGACGTTGGGTGCCCCTGATCACTTGAAATGAGCCAAACGAACTGTATATTGTACAAACAATCATAAAAACTGTGTCCTTTCTAAGCGGTTTATTGTACTGACGAAATGAACATTAACCATTATCTCTAACGATAACAGTCATCAATTCATGATTGTTTGAGCATCTTAAGCTTCATTTTCTGGATGGAGCAAGTTGGTTGCCTTGCTTCAAATGGC